ATAAGAAGTGATGTGGGTTGCCAAAAAGAAATACCAGCTTTATACAGAAAAGTTACCTGAAAGTATCCACATGCTGAGAAAGCTGCTTAGCAAAAGCCTACAGTACTAAGGGAGCAGTACAGGAATTGGAAGCTCAGAGTTCAAAAATGAGAAAAGGATGTGCTGGATTTTGAGCACAGCACACTCTCTGCCTCCTTCTCTGTCCACCAAGTGCAGCATGAACTGCATTTTATCCAAAAAGAAAATGAGAGGACATAAGTAATTATTTTAAGAAATGAAGACCAAGTCCACGTCATAAAATTGCATTTGGTTAAAAATAGGTACAGTTTAAAATAAAATAGTAACACTCAGAAAATAGTTCTACTACCCATTTATCTAAATGGCGTTGGCAGGAGAGAGACAGAACACATGGGACAGCAAACCCAGAGATGCTGAATCTGAGCAGCACTTCATCTTTGTATGCATTAACTGCATGTACACATTTAGTCCTATTCTCACAATTTTAGGAAATTTGTTTCTGTAATGAACCAGCTTCTTCTTTCTTCTCACACTGAAGTTTCACTTGGCATCTCTCACTGTGTTTGTACCAGTGTACTCTATCATTCCTCTCAGAAGGCAATGCAAGAAAGCAATCCAAACAAAAGATCTTCTACTTAGAGCACAAGAACTTAAAGAGCAACAAGTAGATCAAAGTGTGCAGTCAGCAAACATACAAGGCAGGAAGTTCATGAGGTTTCTCCTCCCTCAAGCCCCTTGGTAAAGGCAGCATTCATGACAAGGAATTCACACCTAGCAAGTGATGTGACCAATAGATTAAGGTATTAACACACAGTTCAAGAAACTGATTACAAATAGGGTTGTGATAGATGACACACCTTCCACCTATTCCAAGTATTTAAATAGTTTTCTTACCTTTTTTTTTCCTGAGAATTTTTTTTGTCACGACAAATATAGTTTGAGATATAAAACAGATTTATTTTTACTCTTAAGTAAGAAAACCCTGTATTTAGTGCAGTTCTGTGTCCCTACCATGACAGTGACTTAAACTCCAAGTCTGACTAATTACAGGTTAAGCTCATGACTCTTCTCTTTCCATCCAGCTCAGAGTATTTACCAGTAAGCACAAACAGTACTGCTTTGCCCTTCACAGGAGGAAATTACGTGGTTTCAACTGTTTCCACTTTCTTCATCAAAAGAATAAAAAAAGAAGTGTCTGTTTTCTCAGAGCTAGTCTACAGCACAGAAGAAAACATACAAGTAGTAAGTGCTAGTCTACCCTAGAGAGAGGTTTGAGACAAAAGCCATTTTGGTCAGCACAGATCTTTCATGAACGACAGGCTACTTTAAATTTATACAAAATTATTTCAACAAAATCTTAATGAAACCAACATTATACCTACAACAGTTGTGGTCAAAAAAATTGTTTTGCTTTTTATGCTTCTTTCCTCCTGATCCCTGCATGAGGTAACAGACAGAGTATCAACTGTCAGAATTATATCTGGTTATACAGCCCAGTGCACATGTTATCACACTCTACTGCCCAGCCTGACTGGATGGATGGGTTACCAAAACAACTAAATGGGATGACCTGGAGTATTTGGGAGAGACTCCTGGGACTGTGGAGTCATCGACCAGACACTCCTCAACACTCCAGGAAGAACTACAGAATGCACTTTTGCTCACAGATTACATTTGCAATTAAGGAAAATAATTCAGGTTTTTTTCAGGAGTCTCAAAAGAAAAGAGAAATGTGTATGCACATGTACATATTTTATTGTATTTAAACAGGCCAGATTATAGAACCAAACCTTCCATGTCACTCCTGTCAGAGGGCAAAAGATTTTTTCCTATTTTAAATATAATTTCTGGTTGGATAAGCACCAGTGTGTGCACCTAAATTTTGGCTGCAATCCCATTTTATCCAATTCCTGCCTATTTTTACAGATAGCCTGTAGAAATAGCAAACTAAAAGAAATTTCATCCAAACCATGTCTAGTAATTTTAAAGTAAGTTTTCAATATATCATCTGGCAAGTCTTCTGCAAGATGCACCAAAAATATTTCCAGAACTGGGTTTGATGAATCAAGTTTTAAGCTTGAGGCAACCCTGTGACCATCAAGTACGAATTTCCATGTACACAGAACAAAAATTTTTCTGCTGGAGACATTTCAAAATTGTCCCTTAAATAAGTTTATTTGTCTTTATAAGCAGATTTAAACCTAGGAAAGTTTTCACAAGTGAAAACCAATTTTAATGGTAATTCTATAAGATAACTCACATGCATGAAAACAGTATTTTTATATAAAACAACAGAACACAAACTTTATACACCATTGAAGACTAATGTAGGCCTTTTACACCTGCCTACACAGTAACCACAGTGCCATCTGACAAAGTTCATAAAATTACTTTGCAATTTTTCCTGTATTAAACTAATCTTCTTACATTCACCAATTCTAACCAGAACTTTATCTCTGCTGTTTGCATTGCTTTGCTTTATGCAGCTTTAGTTACATTTCATGCAGCTGAACTTGTGGTTGAGTGGTTATCGGGACTGAGTATTTTCCTTCACTAAAGCAGATAAAGGCTGTTTCATGGAAAGATAGGAACGGGAAAAGTTGTTTCAAAGAACAAATTGCATCCTAAAGGCTTTTATTCTACTCCCAGTACTGTTAACTGGAATGTGAATCACACTGTAAAATACATCACTTCATTTAATGCATTAAAACAGAAAAGATACTCCTGTAATCCCCAGTTCTGAGCAAATTTCCAACTCTGTCTCCTTAGTTCACTATATCAAGATTGGTAGAGTTTATTAATTTTTATAGCTCTCTAATCAAATTCTTCCTTGTGCATCTGCTCGAGATAGATGCACCCAATTTCCTCAGCTGCTGGAAGCACTTCTACAAGACCGTATCTTACACTGCCTATATGGGAAATTCAGTGATTGTTTGATATTGCAAAGCTGCCACGGCTCTTGTTGATACTGTGTTTCCTAACTGCAAATATGAACAGAGGATTTTTTTTTTTCCTAAATAAAACAGATTAGCATGTTGAAGCACATCCACAGTAAATTGTTATTTAAATTATACACTGGCAGTTAATTTTCCCCAACGTATCTTCAAAGAAGCTTAATTCCCCAAACTGGTAGAAAAGTACTTTGTTTTCCTTACAAATCCAATTTATATATTTTGACACGTCATTTTAATTAATGTTATAGTGTAAACTGAAGCAACTAAATTTATACAAAATGTCACATAGGCATGCAAATTGATTTAGCCCTGACTCACCCCGACAAAGCTTATAAAAAAAACCCCCACCAACCAAGGGATTGAAACAAAACAACTTTATTTGAAAAGTACCAGCAAAGTTTTGCCACTAAAAACTGTCTGAAAATCTATTAAAACAGGCAACTCTTTTGACAATTTAGAAGTTCTTCTTGCTCAGCAACTAGCAGGTGGAGCAGTAAAAGTGCAGATACTCAGCATCATAAAAGCAAAAGAACTGCTGAGTGATTGTGCACCAGCACAAAAGCATCCCTTGTACGAGAAGCAAAGTAAGAATCCACTGGGTTAGTAGTAAAATACCATTTAGGTAAGAAATACTTTGGTAACAACACTCACCCTCTCTGTAGCACTTTCTGTTGGTCTATCTCAACATACTTTAACGAGGACAAGACTATTAAGTGACTATAAAGATGGGCTACGTGACAGCTGGAAATTACCCTCTGACATCTTGAAAACCTACTGCACAACTGTTAGTCCTGTATTAGATCCTGATCTGATAAACTAATTCCTCAAAGGTACATGTGTTTATACAAGTGCATGGGAAAGCCAGCTGCAGTTACATGCCACCTGGTCCTGTGTCACATTCCAGCACCAAAGATCTCCTCTCCCAGGTACAGGAAAAGGGCACAGAACTGCGACACCAACTTTTAGCACTGCAAGTACATGGTAACCCCAGTACAAGTGTAGTGCAGCCATAACAAAGAAAGCTGCACATATTTGTAATGCAGTAAATAATTTGCAGACATTTAATAGATTAAAAAAAAAAAAAAGAGAAGTCACATGCACAACACTTGTGCAGTTAGGACTGAAATCAGGACACGCTACTTCAAAAACCCACAGTTCTTTAACTACTTAACTAGAGTGTGTTTCCTTTAGCTGATTGCAGTGCACCTTTATCCTCCAATCCCCTCTACAAGGAAGAAACACTGCAGTGTGGGAAAATTATATGCTATCCATTTCTCTCCAACCAGGCAGTGCTCAGGCAGATGCTCCCTGACTATCAACCTCAACAGCCTGTATCCAATCCCTAATTAACCCCATGTGCAGATGAATCACATTCTCACCTGGAGAGCAGGTCCCAGAACATCAATCCTTTCATCTCCTAAAAACACACATTTAGCATTCCAGAGCTAGACTTGCAGGCCAAGGTTCAAACCTCAGCTGCCTGAGCTGAGTTAATAATTTTGCCCATTTATCTGCAACACAAGGAGTCGTTACCTACCCGAATCCACTCACAGCACGCAGATGGCTCATGAGGTTGAAAACTGAAATGACAGATCTATGCAGCAGTGAAAACGAAATGTCTGGTGCCATGGTTAGTCCAAACCAGGTCATCTTTTCTCTAGTCTCTTGTTTAATGCCAGCTATGTTATAACACTTCTTGTCTGCACAGCATGTCACAGCAGCTTCCTCATCAGTCACAGGCCAAAGTCACCGTGCTTTTCTTTCAGGGCCTCAACTGGGTTTCCAAACACCAGATTTACTCTATTTATCTGTCAAGGCTAAATAGCAGAGCTCAGTAGAAAACCTTGGACAGAATTTCTTTATTGCTAACATAAACTGCCCCTTAGGCAGAACTGTAATGAATATATTAGCATGTTATTCGATGTAATCAATATAGTAGCATGCTATTACCAGATTCTTAAAATTCTTTTATTAAGGAAAAGGGTATTTAGCACAGTAGTGTTTTCTCTTTAATAGATGTATACTTACCCACATAATGCATATTAAGGGCCAAGTACTTGTACTGGAAGAGAGGGTTGTTGTGCAGGCTACTTCTTTGGATCTGCTGGAAGAATGAGCTGACATCCCATCTGTACAAGACATCCAACAGCATGATGCTCGGGACCCTCAGGGCCACGTTTAATACTGCCTCCAACTTCTCCTTTGCAGCCATTCTCTTCCCTTTCTGTGAATTGGCAGCAGACTGTAAATAGCACAAGAGAGAGAAGAGTAATCAGATCAATCCCACTGTACAAACAGCCATTAGGTTTTGTGATCGTATGAATGGGGCTTCCTGTGTGGCCACGAACGACTGAATGAATCAACTGAGTTAAACTCCAATCCAAACAGGACAGCTTCTATTTTTGCTATATAAAGGTCAATTTGCTAGCAGTTTTTCCACAGCGATACTGTAAAACAGGGGGGAGGGCAGATTAATGACATAAAAGAGGTCCAAGGGTGTGCACTGAATAAAGCTTCGTTCTTATTTGCACTAATGTAGCATCCAAGACCTCAGCCAAAAGGTCCCAGAGTGCTCTGTACTACATAAACATTAACATGATCAGCATTAAACAGCAAATACTCTGTAAGCTTTAGAAACCAAACACCAACAAAATTCAGACGCTACTTCCATTTACTTCAGCACTATTTCTGTGCCTCTGAAATTAAATAGCCACTGATTAAAAGAGTCCTTAAAACATTTTAGATTCACTTCCCCAATGTAAATTGAAATACCTCAGTCCAATACTGAGTCCAATACCTCAGTTTTTAAAAAGTCATTTACAGCCCTCATTAACTTCTATGAATTTATCTATTTATGCAACCTGAGGCCTGGGTGTTTGGAGATTAGGACCAATAATGCAGCTTCTCTACTCATTTTAACGTAATTCACCCTAAGGAATCATACAAACAAAAGACCATATTCCTCTCACTCCCTAATACTAAAAGGTAATTTAATTTTTTAGTTTGCCATCAGATAAGATGGATGGTGTAAAACAATGAAGGGCACTTTTCTTTTTAAAACAGAAACAAATGCTGGTCTACAACAGCACCTAAAAGTCAACAAAAGAAGAGCAAAAGGATCCATTTCCACATCCTGTCAGCTAAGACTGACAGTGGTTCCTAAATGAAATGTGCTGGTTTTACCTCACACCACTTGCCCATCCCAGGAACATGATTCACCCCAGGTTTGTGAGCAACCAGTAATACACACAATAGTAGAGAAGTGCAGTTGAACTGTTCAAGGCCAAGGTTGGCATGACCCAGCAAGTCTTTATCCACAAGAAGCCATTCACAGGAAAATCACCTGCAGCACAATCAACCTCCCGATGAGGTTCAGATTTAAGAAAAGGCTCCCAACCCCAATTACTAGGGGACCAACTGGAAAAAAAAACTGCCTCCTGACCAAAGAAATAGAAAAATCTGCACTTGAACTGCACTTTAAATTGAATAAATTTTACAGGACTTTATTCATATTTTCCTTATGTACGTTATAAAAGTTTTTGCAGTTGTGCAAGTTTTATACTTTAAGCCATCACAGAAGTACAGCATGAAGTGAAACCATGCAAAACATAGGAACAAAAAAACAACTCACACACACACAATCCTCATTTGAGGTTTTATTTGTGTTGTCATGGCCTAGGCACTACCACAAACTGTTCGTGTGCACACCTACAGCCACATTCACACCTGTCAAGGCATGAGGACATAAAATTAACTCAGCTCAAGAAGTCAGGACAGATCAAAACTGAGATATGGCTCAATAAACCTCAGGTTGCAGAGCTGCTGTTGCCACTGTCTAGCCCTCAGTCTGACTTGTCAAGTTATGTAAATGCTGACACTTTTTACAGAGCTCTTGCAACAGCTCTACAAACCCCAAGGGCAGCACATCCTTCCCCTCGCACAGGAAGCGCCTTCACACTACGTGGGGCACCCCACACACCACCAGCATTTCACAATGCTGCCCAAAACGTATTAAAAGGTTGGCCAGAAGACTACAAATATTTAGAATGAACAATCAAAACTATCACCCAGGCAGCTACCTCAGAATCCGAGCATTCAGCATTTCGTGCCAATAAAAGGCGGTGTTTACAGGGATGGTATCACACAAACAAAATTGGGAGTTACACAGATTATATAAAAAGAGTTACAAGAAGTTATGGGGCATACAGATTAAATAATTCATACCAAAATATTTTAAATGTCCTGGAATTTTTCAGATTTTCTATTTTGCCAAGTCTGCAAATTCAATTAAAACTTTGAAATTAATCTGTCTCCTGGTTTTTTTGCTGGGTTCCTTTTCCAAGTAGATCAGGACAGGGGTGGGCAGGGACTGACTGACAGGTTTTCACTGTCATAAAAATATCCATGTAAAGCAACAATAAGTACCTGATTCCAAATGACATTTTCAAAACTGTCAAACCTTTTCAAGTCATCAACAACAACCAAATATGTAGGACAAGAAGGACATTTTCACTTGAGCTTTCACTTTGCTAATTACTTTAAAACCAGAATTCCACAGACAACTTCTCTTAGTACTACAAGTTAACTGAGGGTCAGCACATTCAAATTAAGATGAATTATTCTACTTCCAAAGCTCTTACACCCATACTTAGAGAACTAAAAAGTGCAGCATTAAGATTATCTAAGAAAACGATCTAAATTTACAATGCTGTTAAAACAAAAGCAAAACAAACTTTGAAAACCACATCATGTCGCAAGGGACTGTGAGGGGCAGCCACTGCAGCTCCGCAGCATCTTCCATCACTGACTGACAAACCACCCAATACTAATAAGAAATCCTTTAAAATTAACTCCACTGGAAATGCGGATGTGTTAAATAAAGCCTCAGTTGTAATGGCTGCCAAGTTCTAACAGAACGTAATACAGGCGAGCAACAACGTCCATTGCTCTAAGCTCATTATATTGTAAAGAGCTCTCACAATACATTATTTTGATTGGTGTAAAAACAAACAAAAAAAACGACTGAACATTAAACCTCTAAAACCTCTAGATAAATGATGATGGCAAGAGTTGCTGGATGTTCAGACGTGAGGAAAAAAAAAAATAGGTCACTTGTTCTACAAAGACAAAAAATGGACTGGGAAGCAACTTGTTTGTGTTTCAAAATTTTTTTCCCATGATTTCAATCATCTCCCTGTTCCAAATCAGAAGAAAAAGAACAGTTTTAGGAAGGTTGTCATGGTTTAACCCAGCCAGCAGCTAATACCACACAGCCACTCGCTTACCATCACCTCTCCCAGTGGGATGGAGAGGAGAATCAGGAAAAAAAAAGGAAAACCCTTGGATTTAGATAAGAACAGCATAATAATTAGGATAAAGATTACGATAACAACTGTAATGAAAATGATACAAACAAAACCAACCAACCAACCATCAAACAAACAAAACTAAATAAACAAACAAAAACACAACAGAAAAAGAGGAATAAAGCCCAAGAGAAACAAGTGATGCACAGTACCATTGCTCACCACTCACTGACTTGATGCCCAGCCTGTCCCTGAGCAGTGATCAGTGGCTCCCAGCCAATTTCCCCCAGTTTATGTGTTGGACATGATGTTCAATGGAATGGAATATCCCTTTGGCCAGTTCCTCACAGCTTCTTGCACACCTGCTCACTGTCAGAGCACAGGGACCCGAAGAGTCCTTGATTTATAGTAAGCACTGCTTGGCACCAAAGAACCATCAACATGTTACCAATGTAGTTCTCACACTAAATCCAAAACTCAGCACTGCACCAGCTACTAGGAAGGAACTCTTATCACAGCCAGGACCAAGAACTTCAGACTTCAAACCTTAAGTTGTGCTATTTGACCAAAACGAGCTTTTAAAAATTTCCCATCAAAAGTATTTGCTCATTTTTGTTTTCTAACAAGGGTTTTTCAAAAGTCCCTTCCTCACCTGACATACCCATTTTGTCAAAAGCATATTCCTGGTTAGCTTAAAAAAGACTACCCTAAGTCTGTCCCAGGTCATTCCATTAGAAGAAGAGATCACCTTGGGTGTTGCTCACATGACACGTATCCCCTCAAAGATAACACACATTTTCCTTTTTACAGAATTTTCATTCTGAAGTTTTGTCATAAAATTTCAGCTGAAGCTGTGAATTCTGCCACTTAAACCAGTGTAACTGCTGTTTCTGCACCAACATAACTATAAATCTATCACATAACAGGCAGAAAATACACCCTGCTTAAACACAGTATGAGGCCACAGAAAACCTGCATCCACTTATCCAAGCAGGTATAAAATTACATTAACGGAATAGAGTTTCTGCATTTAGGAAAGCATTGATCATGAAGTTAATTAATAGTTACAGATATTTGCTGAAATATCTGCAAATTTAAGAGTTATTCTAATACTACTGCCATCAAAAATTACCATAGAAAGAGAAATTCCAGATGAGATGCAGATGAGATGCAGATGAGATCAGAACTTCAACACCAGACTTGTTCCTGCAACATTCAGCCTCACATCTGTGAACATGATGCTCATTCTCCTACAGCATTACAACCGAAAACACTTGGCAAGAGTGGTTAAAAACAAAAAGAGACAATTTCAACTTCTGTTTCTCACATCTATGAAATTTTAGTTACTTTGGATATGTCCATTGACAAGCTGGCTTTGGTCTGCAGTCTAGTTTCCGCTTTAGATAATTTTTCAGCAATACGTTCTGGAACCAAAAATATCACCAGGAAAAGCTTTTGTTTTCCTCTCAGGTAAACTTTGCTAGACAGACCGAAGAGGAAAAAAAAAATAAACCCAATCCAAAATCTTCAACTCCTATCTATAGCTAGGGAAGAGTTCAGTGTAACAGTTCAAAAACTAAAATTAGACCCCCAGCTGACTGGTACCCATCCACTCCCCAGAACCACTCCTTCTTTATGCCTGTCCTGGTCTGGGGAGCAAAAAGAATCTGAAGTACAGACAAAATCCATTCTTCAGAGACTTAGATCTTTATATCATCATTTTGGGAGGGAGGAAAAAAAGAGAGAAGCAAATGGAAGAAACAGGACGAAAAGGTCTATCAGATATGCACTCAGAAAAGAATTTCCCTGTATGAGTTTGTAGAAAAAAAAACCACCAAACCTAGAACTCAGAGTATGTGAGTCACTGATCCATCAAAAGAGCTGTTTCCCATGCAGACAGAGGCAAGGAAAGGAAAATACATCTTGCTCCCATACAATTCAAACTGGCTAACAAGGACAGCACTCAAAAGATTTCTGCTGAGAAGGCCAGATCCAGCGAGATACCAAGTGTACTAATAAAGCAGCGAAGCACTGCAGACGTGCACAGCAACACTGTCATTGGCTTCCAATAATATTCAGCTCTTATAGATCACTACAATAGTTCAGTAATTTTGAATAATAACCAGAGACTATTTAGCCTTCAATTTAAAGGTCAGCAAACAGACAGCTTGATCTTGCTATACAAGCAGTTAACAAGAACAAACAAATTTTTTTTTCTCTCTTTTTGTTTCCTATCTGGTCTGACAATATAGATGCTATAGAGTTGCTGCAGTGGTGTGACTGAAGAACTGGTATTTCTGCCTAGAAAACACAGTCATTCCTAAATTCCTACTCACCCAAGACTCGTTCAGTTGTGAACTGCGGCACAGCTAAGGTTAACCACTCCAAATAAATACAGAACATATTTTGCAAAAAAACAAATATTACTGCAAAACAAATTAGGTCATCCTCTTATCTGTTCATAGGGACTTCAGTGAACATGCATTCACGTTAAAGGCACACTGAAAAAGGACAAAAGCAACTAGAGAAGGTTAACTGCAGAGAATAATTAAATAATCTGTATTTCCAACTTTCATTAAATCTAGCAAGTTTCATATGAGTGAGAAGAAAACCAATTCAGGAAAATGAAGATACATATCACAGAGCTGTGAAATTTTCTTAAAAGATTTATTTCTTGAGTACATGTATACACTATGAACAGTTTCAGCCCACTCTCAATTATACAGCAAATGCATTATATTATTATAGGCAGCCTGTAAAACATCCTGTGTCTTTTATTTTTTTCATAATGGGCAAGTAAGACCGAGGAGCTGAACTCAGGGACTAACATGTGCTAACAAAGATTAACAGATCCACCAGTTATGCAGCAAAATCCTTCCGTGGATTCCTACAGGATCTGCACTCTGCCTGCGTATGATCAGTTCAAACCCAGTCACACTGAGAGGGGCTGCCTGATTTTAAGGTTGTGGCTTAGTCAGGCACCTGAAAGACAGGAGTATAATTCATTAAAATTAAACTATAATTAATAACATCTTTAATTAAAGTCTTCAGAAGAAAAATCTAGATTGAATCAACAAACTAAACTGCTCTGAGGTCCTTTTTGGCTCCGCCGTTTCTTGCCAGTCCCAGGTTTGGTTTATTAACTAGTTATTCAGCATTTTTTTTGCCATCACAGCCGTGTTTGCAAGCCCACACCTACCAGCCTGCCTAACCACATTTGTATCAGCACATTCTGAGAAAATCTGGGAAGCAATCCCAAAGCGCCTCTGCAGAGGAGAGAATACCCAGAGGACCTGCACACGGAGCACTAATGACAGCCCGGGATGATGCAGTCTGTGACATCCCACCTCGGAGAGCTGGATCACAGCACGACCAGACACACGAGTAAAGCTGCCATACCCCATCAGCCTCACAAAAAACCCTGCAACCCAAATGTGTTACCAGGATGAAGTTACACAGCAGGATGAAATATATTTCATCTTCCACAGTTGCTCAGACAGTTTTTAGCAATTTCAGCTACAGACACAGCCTATGTTTAGAATCTGCAATGCCAATAACTAGTTACCTGACTGGTAGGAAGTTAAAATATAAAATAAGACTGTCAAGGTTTCTCCAAGTCCACACTGATAAAGTTTCCATCGCTGTTGCTCCCTTATCTGAGTCATGTAAATAAAGAGCATCAGCTTCTAGGCCTGTGAAATAGGCAGCTTAGCTTCCTGCAGCACCAGGCTCAGGCAACAGAAATATCAAACAAATGGTGAAAATATCTAGAAAAGTTCCTTTTAAAACATGTTCAAACTCAAGACATGCAACCACATAATTCTTCCAGAAAAACTCCCCGAGATTAAGTACCCACTCCTGAGTGTTCCTCCCAAGTACGCATCTAATTACAGAGCAGCAGGGCCTCTCTGCGAGGAGATGCTGTAAGGGCAGGGAAATGGGCTCAGGTGTCTGAATCACACTGAAGGAGTTGGACCTGAATATGCACTTAAAAAGCAAAACTACAGTGAACTGTCCAGTCTAACCACATCAAACACTGCCAGGTGCATTTGGAGCTAAAAAAGCATTCAGAAGAGAAAACCACCACCCGGGTTCCAGAGGACGGGAAGAGAAGCCATCTGCACGTCTGTGTGAAGAGGAGGAAACCGACCCAAGTTTATTTAGCAAACAGCTCAGAAAATGTTTTTTTGAGTGCAACATGAAACACCAGGCAGGCTTATACAGTTTTCCAGGACACACCCATTTGTTCAGATCTCACTGGCATGATGTGCCTCTCTGCATCTGCACCATGGGCTCCAGCTGCTGAACCGGAGCGAGATACTGATCTCCTTCCATCATCTCCAAAGGAAGGAATTCCCCAGTACTTCTTCCAGTGCACGTTGCTGGGTTCACATCTCCACCAGAATCAAGTGGTTCTAACATCAGCTAATAATAAGAACTGATACAAACAAGGTGAATCCTGTGCTTTGGACAAGCAGCAGTTTTATTTTGCTCCATAAGATTTCTGATGATCCTTCCACATAATGGTGGTCACAAAGACAACCACTGCCTAATGATAATGATTTTATGAATTAATTAAATCCTTTAATGATATTATGACTCAAAATCTAGAGCTGATTACCACAGTTATTAAAGCTAACTTGAAAAAAAAAAAAAGATAGTTTCTCATGCACAGGCAGCTGGTATTTAAGATAACTGGCAAAACTAAGGTCACAGATAAACCGAAGTTACCAGGTGCAATACCTGAACTGCTCCCACCTTAACACAGTATTTCTTTTAATATTTAAATCTTCATTGACCTACAAACAAAAGTGATCAAAGGGTAATTATTTCCTTCTTCTCCTCCCACATTTGATCTCTACCGACACATTACACAGACAAAACCCCCTAATTGAAATACATGTAAAAGTATCCAAGTCTGAAACACAAGTTAACAGAAACTCTTTTATTAAAAACTGCATAAGTAATGAATACTGCAACACCTACAGACTTCAAAAAAAAAGTATACTGAATGAGATCACAAATGGCTAATATTTATGAGTCAAATATGCTACACAGATCTCACTTTTCTTTGATAAAGAAGTGGCACTGTATGCCACATCCAGTATGTAATATTCTCTCTCATTTGCTGATACTTGCATGCATTACACAAAAAAAAAAAAAATCCACGTTTTTTTCACTTTATTCACCCAACCACATTATTTATGCACCAGGTCCCACACACACACCCCCAAGAAGGCAGCACAACCAGAAGATAAGAATCTCTCTAAAGAGCTCCATCTGTCACAAGTGTACTTGGTACAAAGAACTACTCGAGCACGGAAGAAAAATGAAAATTCCCATCACAAACCTTATTTTAAAAGGCTACAGACGGTCTCAAAAAACCGACTGACATGACATTAAGTAGGGAAGATGGAAAAAGCCCTGTTCTCCACGCCACGGGCAGGCTGCTCCTTACATAAGCATGACCATATGCTCCAGGGCCCGTCTCCAGGAGGGGTGCCCGGCTCCGCTCCGTGTCTCACCCGTGGCAGCGCACGGGCTGGAGGATGCACGGCCGGCCGAGGGGACCGGGGGGGAAAATCCGGACCCCAGGGAGGGCGGGGAGCGCCGGAGCCCCCCGGCCAAGGCAGCACCTCGGTCAGGGCGGCAGGAGCCCGCAGCTCATCCCCGGGGTCCGCACAGGCAGGCAGAGAACCGAGAGACCCTCCCGCCCCGCTCCCCGGCCGGACAGTTCCCTCCAGACCGGCGCGACTCCCGCGCTCACCGCCGGCGCCGCGGGCGGCCCCGCGCATCCTCCCGGCCCCGCTGAACTCCAGTAACCCCGGCGGCTCCCGGCGCCGGCGGAGGAGGGGAGCGGGGAGGGGAAGGGGGGGATGGAGGGCGGGGAGAGGCGCGGGCGGGGGGGGCGCGCGGGGAAGGTCGGGGAGCCCCGACACGGGCACGGACGGGCGGGGGGCGCGGAGGGGCCGCGGGCGGGAGGTGGGGGGGGCGCGAGCGGGAATCACCTGAGCCCGCGGGGTCGCCGCCGCCGCCTCCTCCTCCTCCTCCTCCTCCTCCTCCTCTTCCTCTTCCACCCCCTCCTCTCGCTCCCGCTCCCCGGTGTCTCCGCGCCTCTCACGCCGACGAGGGCGGCGGCGGCGGCGGCTCGTCGGTGCCCGGCGGCAGAGCGGCTCCTCGAGGCACCATGGCCGCGCCGCGCCGCCTCAGGGCGCCGCCGGCACCGCGCGGCCCCGCGCACGGCCGGCCATGGCCCCCCTCGCCTGCGCGCGCGCGCCGCCCCGCTCCGCGCACGCGCGGGCCCCGCCCCGCCCCGCCGGCAGAACGGCCCCAACGCCCCCGCCCGGAGCCGCGGCCGGGAAGGGGGATTTTTTTTTGGGTGGAAACCACCGGGAATTCTACTGGGGAGGTTACGCTCCCCGCCCGCCGGAGGGGTTCGGCACTAATGCCCTTCGCCCGCCCCCACGAAAGGGCAGAGGTTTGGATTTGGGGTTGGTTTTGGGTCTTCCCGGGACGCGCGGACTCGCCAGGGCAGCGGCGAGTCTGGGAGATGACTCAGAAGAGCCGGTCAGCAAAATTTTGAGGTAGTGTCTGGGCAGATGTTTAAAAGGCAGCCCTGCTATTTTAATAATACTCTTTAGTGGCCGCGTGGAACAAAAAATGCTGTATGAATTTCAAATACTAAAGGCTGTGTTTTTTTTCCAGTGTTGCACTGCAGAATCTCCACTCATCTTTGTTGTGAGATCAACCACAAAAAACACCAGAATTTCTGTATTATTGCACTGTCATTTTTCAGCTGGAGACCTGAGCCAGAGGCAGCTCCCTCAGCACAGTTCATGCTTCACAGCCCTTGCATGAAAAGTCTCACCAGTATTTACTCATCCTGTAAAGGTTGCATGGCCAGGCCCTAGCACACATTCCTAAGTGGTATGGAAAAAATTAGGATCCAAGGGAAGTAATGTTTTTTACCTTAATATTTGGAAAAAAAAAAATACAAAGCCGCATTGTCTGGAACATGAAAAAAAGCTTTGCTGCAGTGAGGAATGACGGAATACACTGAACTGGAAAATCCTGTAGTTCACTCGGGTTGGGCTAGCCAACTTAATAATTGCTTTTTTCCTTCCATCTCTAATGAGAACTGGAGCATTCACAGACATAGGTATTAGCAGTGCGTGGCCTTAACACGGTGTCTAACTCTGTGAAGCAGAGATATTAAAATAAGAGGTTTGGGTGTCCATTTGCATTCTGCTTTGCAAAATTACCCTTGTCTGTGTACCCAAAGGTTTTTGAGAAAAGGGTAGTTTGAACATGTTGTGGTGGGGCTCTGCCCTGCTGCATCCTCAGCTGGTTGCTCTTGGTGTTCACACTGGGCCAGTCTCCCGAACTCCAGTCAGTCCAGAACACAGCAGGAAGGAGACCAAATGGCACAACTCACAGGGGTCTCCCAGACCTTTACAGGTACCACAAAGGGGCTCAGCACAATTTTTCACAAGCTTCAGATTTTTATGCTATTTGAAAAAAACAAAACCAGGCTTTTTATTGAAAGATTTTTAGTTTGAAACAAATAGTTCATGCAAGGATTCCTAAACTCCATAATTCTTCTCTTCAGAAGGAAACAACCTGCACGTCCAGCCAAACTAAGGACGTGCACATGTGATTGTTACTCCTAAGCACTCCATGCTCTGGTCAGGCTCAGGAGGTTCACAGAGCCCCTTGTGCACAGGGCTCAGTGTCTCCTCTCAGCAGTTGGGTTTCCTCCTTTGTCACTTAACAGGTCCCCACATGACAAACGTTTGCAGCTCTGGTTTTATGTATCTTGTTAATAATTATGCCACTCTCACTCACTCCTTTTGTACCTGGGGTAAATACACTGCTCCAAACCCTGGGCTCTGCTCCACCAGTCTCCAGCCACCCTGTTTTTCTGCCTGGCTCAGCCCACTCACCACTGTGCCCTTGTTCAACGCTTGCCAGTACCCCACTTCTTATCACAGGGAGTATGAACCAGCATCATATAAGGCATAAGAATTTCGGCCTCATTTCTAGGGGCTGCTTGTCTACTCCTGCCATACATGGAGAAAATGCATGAGTCACTTCTTTTCTGTTCTTTGTGGGCTCAGTTCAATGCTGACTGAGGTCAGGTGGATGGTGCAGGATCTCTTAAGTCCTACCTCTCTGCAAAGCTGCATGGGAGACAGACAGCAAGCAGCAGAGAGAGACAAATAAATATTCACAACTATAGACAGCAACAGGTATTTATAGAAGTGGGACTGGAAGCATCTATTATTATTTTAGAAGCATCTATTATTATTTTAAAAGTATTGTAGCAAATCTCCAAAGTTCTAGCTTCAATTTGCAAGCAAACAATAGGGACTGAACCCCACCTTTATTTCATTCTGTCATCTCTAAGCATATAATTCTGCAAATGTGTTACTTCACAAAAGCAAAGGCTTTCTAATGAGCAGATCAGGTATGTGGCATTACCACTGTTTTGTCAGACATGGCTTTTTAAAAGCACCTCAACTTTCTGCTTCATTTCTCTGGAATTTTAAAAGCCTTCCCTGCATTTTACAATGGGTGGCTGAGAATTCTGAACTCAATGGTTGTTCATCTCTCATTATTAACAGAGGCCTTCGGATTCCAAAATTTCAGTGATCAGCAACTGAAGACTGAAGGGCACCACTATGGTGACATCTCATTAAAACTTTGAAAAGACCTTCTCAGAGTTCAGATAATGTGGAAGCTTGATTTGTCCATGCAGATGGACAAATGCCAGCACCCCAAACTGCTTACAAAGAAAATTCCTCATAAGAATTCTCAGAGAACAGCAAAATATGCTGACATGGAAGGGTACTGCATGCATAAGGTGGACAATAACATGGGTGGTTTTATTTGAAGCTTTTTACAAGCCATGGTTTCAAAAAATACAGATACATATGTACGTAAAAGCAAAGGAATGTCTTAACGAGTAGGTTATATTGCATAAAGTCAGACAAAAGTTAAATAATGCAAAAATTAAGATTGCCTGTGAAACCTAATTTGGTGCCTCACGTATAAGACTGATGGCAGCCAACCCCCAAAGCCTTTCTGTTCTCTTCTTGCAATTTTATCCCATTCACTAAACAAAGGAATGAATACATTTTAATTAAACTTTAATTCATGCAGAAACAGGCACAAAAATTGGGAGCATTACTGGGTCCCACAATAGCAGCAGAGCCAGTGCATCTCTCTCTGATTTACCTACTCTCCCTCTGTATCCCCATTTGAAAAATTCCCCTGCTCTTCATTATCTCTGACCCTGTTTCCTAAATTTCTGCCCATCACTTAGCTTCTCATCAACCCTTACTTTTCCTCTCATTCTCCCTGTTTTTCAGGGCTCTTTCTACAATTCAGCCAGTCAGAGTTTCTCAATTTCCTATTTGTTTTCAATCTCTTCAAGAAACCACTCATGCAGTATCTCTGATAATTAAATCTCTCCTATGACTACATATATTTTTACCACTTCCATAGCACTGGAGAGTGCTGGCTCCAAATAAACAGCTGCTGTGATTTTCAGTGTACCTAAAGGAAAGCCATAGCAATCTCTGTGTTGAAAAGCTGGAGAGCTGGGTGGTGATGTAAGGAAAGGGATGAATCAGGTTTTGTTCAGCGAACAAAAGCATCACAGTTCTTTCCCAAGATCCCTTGCCAGTGGGGCATAATCTAGAATACAAAGAATCGAAGTAAATAAAATAAAAATCATTGGGCTGAATAGTGGCAGAAGAATAACAGTTGCATTCAGAAAGTGGAAAATCATATGGTACACGGGTACAAGCCTCTAGTATTTAAAGCATCTCACAGTGCCAACATTAACTAAATAATCCTGAAAAAACTCCTGTAAGGAAACTACATAAATATCATTCTAACCTCCCCTTCACTGATAAAGAAGCAGAGACAGAGACTTACTGTATTAGTGATAACCTGAAAAAGTGTTTAATTTCAAACTTGAGACACTTCCATGTCTCCAGCTGAGCTGCCAGCTCCTAAAGCATAACTGAACACTGGGAATGCAGCACGCAGTGTTGTGCCCGGAATCACAGTGACTCAGAATCACAGGGAGCATTCAAATGCTGCATTTCTGGGGCACAGTGATGGCAGTGTCCAGCACACCCCGCTGGCTGCTCTGCTGCAGTCAAGTGGTGACGGAGTCAAGGGCAGGAGACTTGCACACACGGCTGAGTCAGGCTGGAAACACTGGGATGGGATTAGACTTCCAGGGTATGACATTCTCAGACATCACTGCTTCTAACACCTGCTTAGAACAAATTATGTAACGGAAAAAGGGGACAGGGAAAAAGCAATAAAGTATAGTAGGAAACTGTAAAAAGAGGTGTGAGAGGAAACCCAAGAGCATAAAACATATTAAAATACACTGCTACCAAGGTAGTTTAAGGGTTCTTCCATTCCTAGTGCAGAATATGGGCTCTGTTCTAAATTTTTAACTAATGTGGGTTCAATTTATAAGTGGGGTGGAGAGTCTGGTGAATATTCAACTGAGTTTTCTGAAACAAAAAGCAATTTGGAAAAAAAAAAAAACAACAAACTTTTAAGACCTTGAAATCTTTCTGTTGGTCCCTTCTTAGTCTGCAGTGCATTAACATCTGCACTGATTCTTCCCCATTAGTCACTGAATAAACAAATATTTAGCACCTCTCAGGCCTGCAATGTTATCACCTTTTGCTTTCTAACTCCTCAGATCACAGAGATGTGATTTAATCTCTCAATTCCCAAAGCTACCTTTGGAGCTTTCCACACGATTTTCAGCTTTAAATTTTCAAGGATCCTTACCTAGATTCCCCCGAGTTACTTGTGGGAATTTTGCTCTCTTACATGCAGCGTGAACAGCAATTTAGGAGATGAGCTCCTAGGCTTCAATGCACAGGAGTGCATTGCTCAGAACACTCAGAAATGCGTGATGTGAACATGAGGCATGGGAAGGGAGCCAGGAGGCATCTATCTGACATGCAGTCACTTCTTTGATTTCACCCTGGAGCATCCCAGGATGGAGCAGTGCATATCAAGGTGAAAGGGAACGTGCATGTGCTTCAGAATTTCCCCACTGCTCTTCCTGCCTCTTTGCTCTGCTAATTTACCACAGTGCAAACCCACCACGAAACATATTCCTCAGTGCAAAGAAAAGATTATGCTGTTTGAGCTTTGAATTGTAATTAAATGGTCATAGTCAAATCACCACTTTGCACTTATTAACGTTAGGATTGAGCACCACCATGTGTTTTCACAGCTAAGTAAATGTTGTCAGGATCAGAGCATCTTTCAAGAATGTCCTGAATGCCAGGATACTAAAACACCAGCATCACACCAGAAACTAGATAGGCCAAAATGCCTATAAATACCTTTTCATATTACTCCTCAAACAGAAAAAAAAAAAAAAAAAAAACCAAACCTCAAACCCTACTGCCTCTTTTTCAAGAGATCTTTCTCGAAGCCAACAAGAAAACAATAAAAAATATTTAAAACAAATTACAACTAAAGAGGCAATCACACTACATGTCATTTTTGCCGCCTGAATTTTTAAGCAGGCCTGGAGGGTGCATATTTTCATGACAGGGTGTGACTTCAATTACAAGCTGCAGCTTTGGAAGCTTTCCAGCACCACTGCAACGCGCTGCCTCTGTGCAGAGCACAACTGTGTGTCATGAAAGCAAAAAGTAAACCCTTAGTGAGTGGGATACAAACACAGCAACTGGTTTTAATTGGATTTAAGTGCAGTCAGAAACTAAACTTGACAAGAACAGTCGTTACAGCAGTCTCCCAGTTGCACCACTCTTCTGGAAACCAAAGTGGTGCTTTTATGCAAAAACCTGAACATAGAACAAACTCCAAATTCATATCCAGGCAGGAGATACATTAAATTAATATCCACTTAGGAAAGAAATCAGACTTCTGCACAGTTTTTGCCTATACTGCCCTTATCTACTGAGATTTATTTAAACCAGGAATAGCTCTAAGCAGTTCCAGCAGCCACTCCAAAAAAACCTGGACTCAGTACACAGCTGTTTATCTCTGCTCTTTTGTTCTCTTCTATACTTACCACCAAATTAAAAAGAGAAAGAAAAACTATCTGACCTCTCAACCCTGCAAGACCTAAGGTAATGGAGGACCGAAACCTTCACTTCCTTCCCCAAATTTAACACCATCTCTACTGCTACCAGGTGGAACCACAGTCTGTGTCACCTCCACGTGATTTCACATAAGAAACCACACTTCACTTTTGCACAATTTTCTTCACTTTAAACTCTTTCTGTAAAGCAGAATGTGTGAGTGCAAAAGGCCATTTTGGGGCAAAGTACATTTTTTTTTCTACATCTGTTGTCCACCCACAAAACCACTGCAGCTGAAGCCAGTTCCCAAGAATCCCACAGTAACCAAGAAGTGACCCTTCATTCAACAGATACAACGACATGCCTGTAGAGAGTCAGCTTAGGAGTTGAGTTTGGAGTCACAGAATTATGGAATGGTTTGGGTTGGAAGAGACTTTAAAGACCATGTAATTCCAACCCTCCAGCAGTGAAAGAACACCTTCCACTAGAGCAGGCTGCTTCAAGCCCCATCCAGCTTGGTCTTGAACACTTCCAGGGATGGGGCAGCCACAGCTTCCCTGGGCAACCTGTGCCAGTCTCTCACCTCCCTCACGGGGAAGAATTTCCTCTTAACATCTAAACCTACTCCTTCAGTATGAAGCCATTCCTGCTTGTCCTGTCACTCCATGCCCTTGCAAATAAGCCTCTCTTCATCTTTCTTTACGCTCCCTTCAGGCCCTGGAAAGCCACAATAAGGCCACCCCGAAGCTTCTCCTCTCCAGGCTGAACAATCCCAACTCTCAGCCTTTCCTCACGGCAGAGCTGTTCCATCCCTCTCATCATCCCGGTGCGTCCCCTGGACTCGCTCCGTGTCCCTCCTGCGCTGGGGACCCCAGAGCTGGAGCAGCGCTGCAGGGGGGGTGTCTCAGTCGGTATCCGTGGGCACGGAACTATCTCCTTTAGAGGTTAACAACAGAGAAGGCGCACTGGCGGCACAGCTGCCCGTGCAAGCCGCCTCCAGGGCCTCCCCGGGCGCTGAGCTCCCCGCCGGGACCATCCCGGGGGTCCCTCCCGAAGCGGCCCCGCGCACATCCGGGCCCTCCCGCTTCCGCCGCGCGCCAGTTCCGCTTCCTGCGGGCGGACGGGCCGGGACGGGGCCGGTGAGCGGCCGCTCCGCGCTGCGAGGGCGGGTCTGCGGCCCCGGGCAGCCCGGTGGGTGCGGCGGGGGCGGGGGGGGAGGCCGGGCCGGTGTAGGGAGGCGGGGGCGGGCGGTTGTGGTGGTCGTGCCGCCGTGTGGGAGCTCCCCTCGCCGAGGCCGTGCCGCTGCCGGGACAGCCCGGCCGGTGAAGGGCTGCGAACCCGGGCTGGCACCGAGCGGTTCCCGGCCCCAAGCCCCCGCTCCCCACCTGTTACGGGGCCGCACTTTGTGCGGCTCATCGGGCGCTCTGTGGGTTTGGGGGTTTTATCTTTGTGTTGCTTAGCGAGACTTTAAGATGTGGATGTGTCTCTGGGCGACCCAACAAGATAAATCGGTGCGATGCTACAATTTAACGGCACGGCTTCAACGCTTTCTCTGTGACCTTCCCACCCATTGGCTCTTGGTGGTCCAAGGGCCTTGTGAAGGGTCAGAAAATGTAATTAACTGAAGGAAATTGTATTTCACAGCCCCCATGGTAGAGCCCTCGGAAATCCGTGTCTTCCTCTGCTCCTGATCTACTTTCCTGTATTCATCGAGTCGGTCCCTGTAGTGTTTTGGTGTGGGGTGAAGGTGTCTTGTCTGTGATGCTGCTCATCGTGACAAGGCTGTGGTTGTGTAAGGATGGAGGGTTGTTCAAGTGCTCAGTTTTGGAGGGATGAGCTTTTCAATTTAGCACTGGACAGAGACTTGAGGAGTTTTCTTGAAGTTCTTGCCCTGTGCATTTGCTTGCAGAATGATTTGAGATATATGGTACAGGTAAGGAAACAGGCAAATAAACCTTTCTTCCTGTAAACTTAGTCCAAGCAATATGGGCAGGAATAATTTGTGGCAGTAACCCTATGTATCAACATGACTTGACACTTGCAGCCTTAATCTCTGTCAAACCACTTAGTGCTTCTAAGACCCCTTTCTCATGAGTCTTTTTCACAGTATAATACCAGGTCCCTGTCTGATTTGAGAATATTTGGAGGAAAAAAAGGAAAAAAAAACATTCATTTTTTGTGATACCACTTTTCCTCTTCAGATTGTTTTCAGGACTCACAGGGACAATAGTGTGGAGGTGAGGCTTGTAGTGTCCTCAGCAAGCAGGTTGCATCTAGCCTACTTCTTACCTGGTCTGAGCTTGGTGGGGGTGCCTGAGCAATTACTTGCTTGTTCCCAGTAGCTTTTACTGCATAAAAGAGAAGTATTTTGTCTGAGAGCAGGTAGCCACTGACAATACAATGCTAGAGAGGAAGAAGAATCAGATTTTTGGATTCTGAGATTTCTTAGAGTTGTCAGACCTGCTTGTATTGGTGTAATGCATTTCTTGAAGGTAGATAGCTCCAGTTTTTTTCACAGGTCTGCCCTCTCTCTGACTATCAGTCTTTTGAGGACAATTTCACCATCAGTGGTGCAGAGGCCTTCTCTGCATCTCCTGGCAGTCTGTATCAGCCTTTTCATACCTTTCTAGCCCCTTGATTCTCTGTTTCCAAGCCCTAACAGTCAAAACCATGTTCTTAATTTTGCATTAACATAAAAATCTTGGTTTTCAGCTGTGTTTAACGTAGGACTAAACTGTTAAACACAGTTTGTATAAACGATGCTTTGTAAACTAAGGATAGTATAATTATGGTTGTTTTCTCAGCACTGCAATGCAAGTGCAGTTCTTACAGTGTAATTGCATTGTGTGGGTGTGTGTTTTGGCTTTGTTTTCAAATTCCTACATTGATATTGCTACAGTGAGATGTGACCTGGGGTGTGTGTTACTGCAGGTATTGCACAGTGAAAGGGATTAGAGAAATCCAACGCCAAAAATGGACTGTTGCGTTCAGGAAACTGTTTTTATGTGTTTATATATTTCAGGTATTTAGTATTTGCTGTTTCATTATTGCATCTGTTAAGGTATCCATGGGTGGTTTGGTTGCATAAGAAGTGTTGCAGAGGACGTTTCTGAGCTTTGCAATGACTTTTATGGTGCTGCAGTGCCGGGTGTGCAGTGCACAGGCTGTACCTGCACAGAACACACAGCAAACGGTGAATGTGACATTGCTAAATACATCAAAGTGGAACTCAGAGCCTCAGTTTTAACATTGTTCTTTATCCCTTTGTTTCAACACTTTACCAGCATGTTTATCATCCGCTCATGCGAAAAACAAACAGCTCTTTGATGTGCAATGTAATAAAAAAGTCAAGAGTACTTTAAATAGATGTTATGGTTTGTCTTGTGAAAAGAGCAGTTCTCCTATTTCTTCCTTACATGATCTTTGTTTTCCTCCTGCAGCAGATTTTTCAGAAAACAATACTGAACATATGCTTCAAGGATGTCTCTCTCTCTCATAATAAAATGGGGTGGACAGGAATATACAATAACCTCGCTGTCAGAAGAAGACACAGTGTTGGACCTGAAACAGTCTCTTAAAGGCCTTACTGGAGTGTTACCAGAGCGTCAAAAACTACTTGGGCTTAAAATGAAGGGTAACTATTCTCATTTGCTGTTTGTTGTGGATGTGCCTGATATGTTTAAGGACAAACATCCTCCAAACCTAGGCAAAATGCCCACTAACAGGACATCTACCTCCCAGTTCTAGCTCTCAATTGAACATGAATACAGGCATTTTATAAATCACCGGATATTGATTATTATTGGTGAACATGGCGTTCTGTGGAATGGAATATCCCTTTAGCCAGTTCCTCCCAGCTTCTTGCACACCTGCTGACTGTCAGAGCACAGGGAATTGAAGAGTCCTTGATTTATAGTAAGCACTGCTTGGCACCAAAGAATCATCAGTGTGTTATCAGCATTATTTCCATACTAAATCCAAACCACAGCTCTGCACCAGCTACTAGGAATAAAATTATCTCCATTCCAGCTGAAATCAGGACATGGAATAGAATGATAATACAGCTTGTGATATCTGGTATTTTACAGGAAGCTTATTTCAATTAAGCATGAAATTTATTGACATTTTTCTAAAATCTACTCCAATAAAAAAATTCAGATATTACCTGTTTGTGTTACAGGCAAACCTGCAGATGATGATGTTAAGCTCGGAGCTCTCAAGTTGAAACCAAATACTAAAATAATGATGATGGGCACTCGTGAAGAGAGTTTGGTAAATATTTTACCTGTTTAGTAGGTTAAACAGGAAAAAATGCTTCATGTCTTCTAATTGTGATTTTAAATTTAGAATATTTCAGTCATCATTTGATAAATGATGTAGTACAGTAGATTTCTGTTTACATTTATTTTTCCATGTAAAGTAAGCTTTCCTGAAGATTTCTGAGAGCAGTGTGTTTTCATGAAACTCCTGTGTTGCTCTGGACTTGAAGTGCAAACCTATTATTACGATATTCACTGATTTCTCAAATCTGAACGATCATCATTATACTTCAGTAATTCTTTCCACTACTCAAGTGAAATCATTTTGGTTAAATAGTATTTTTGTCCTGTAATGTGTAGTAACAGAAACTTGATATCCATTGTTATTTTCCTTCTGTGATCCTAGTTATCTTTTATTATTATTATTATTATTATTATTATTATTATTCCTTTAGGAAGATGTCCTTGGGCCACCTCCCGATAACGATGACGTGGTCAATGACTTTGATATCGAAGAGGAAGTTGTGGAAGTAGAAAATAGGTTAGGAGTTTTAGCTGTTAAAACAGTTTGTTATTGAATGTAGAGTGTGCATTTTAATTAACTGTAATTTTTTGCACTGTTACATTAGGGAAGAAAATCTACTAAAAATTTCCCGTAGAGTTAAAGAATACAAAGTGGAAATTCTGAATCCTCCTAGAGAAGGGAAAAAGCTGCTGGTGCTAGATGTCGATTATACACTATTTGGTGAGTTTTTATGCAACTTGTGGGATTTTTCTGTTTAAGAGCTCAGTTTATTTGCCAGATCACATTTCTTGAGTTTTGCTTTTCTACCTTATGCAACATAACTTCTGCTTTGTATGATTTTGTGGTCTTCTCTCATTTTAAAAAGCATTGGGCTTTTAAAATGTTACATGTTGTTGATTTTAGTGCAAGAAGACATAAAAAGGTGGCAATTTAGTATTCTGTCTAAATAGTCTTTCTCTTGACACCTTGTATTTTGTGGCAGGGCAAGATACTGTAAAATAGTCATCCTGGTCTGTACCTGATTGGCTCCACTTTTGGGGGGTGTGGGAGAATAGCTTCAAATTTTATTTACAGATTATTACCAAACATGCAGAAAACCATGTTTTACTTGGAAATTCTGTCAAGCTGGTTTTTTTTTTTTTTGGAAGCCAGAATTGTCCTTCTGACTTAATTTTCTGGGATGTAGGTGTGTCATGGCAGCATAACTGTGAGCAGTAAAGAATAGCATAAATAGCTTAAATAATCTTAAAGTGCCTCAGTGTTTCCCTCATGAAACTCTTGAGGTCTTTGGATAGATAGGAAAGTCAGACTGAACTTCATTAACTTATACTTTAATAATGAATTGCTTATCTCTTATATCCTTTTTAGACCACAGATCGTGTGCTGAAACTGGAGTAGAACTGATGAGGCCATACCTTCATGAATTCCTGACTTCTGCATATGAGGATTATGATATTGTAATTTGGTGTAAGTTTTATACTCAATACTTTAGAGTTTAGTGTAAATTGTCATTCAGAGCAGACACTCCAGGTGGGAGGTTTTTATATTGCTTTTTAGTATGAATCACAAGATCTAAAACAATGCAGAAATGTTTGGCTGTAAGTCATACAACCATTAGGGATATTTTAGAAAAATAGTAATTCTTATGTGAAAGAGCTCACAGCAATGGGTCTCAGCATCACTTTACTGAGTGTTACTTTGTACAAACAAACAACTGCTTGAAGTAACAGAACTGTATAATCAACATTCAGCACTGTTTGATAGTGATCTTTACAAATAATCTCCATCCAGACAATACCTAGTGAACTGCCAAATGAACCAAATTCTTCTGTCTAGAGAATTGGTTGATCCTTTGCCTTTGCATGCTGGGTCATTTCCTGTCCAACAGCTGCAGAACAGACTTGAGCCAGAGCAGGGTTCAAACCATATTAAAATTATTTTGCAAAATTTCATTGTCATAGTCTGGAACAATGTTTCTACATATTCTTAGATAAGTGGACAAGGTTGAGACTTTGTCCTTTCCAGACCTTATGTATTCTTATCATTGCTTCCAGAAGGAAATCTCTACAGGCAGTGTGATTCCTCAAACCAGGTGTAGCCCATTCCTTATGGTCCTGCAGGCTGTAGAGTTC